GCACTACAGGATCGCAACTATGTGTACGTTTTTAAGTCTAAAGTAGAAAAGGAGAAAAAATATACAGAATTGCACGTCAGTATGCCAACATTCGTTTTCGAGATAGAAGGTTGTGAGATGCAGTAAGACGTAGGATAACATACGCGATTATTATTCGCGACATTCGGATTCGCGACCGGCCCGTTCGGCGACGTCAACTCCGAGCGAAATTCGACGGACGGCCACGCGGTACTCGGAGAGACAAGTCTCCTTCTATCTTTCTCCGTCCCTCTTTGTGCCATCCATCTTGACGGGACCCGTTTCTCGTCCACGAAACTATCGCGGAACGATACGATTCTTCCGATTGACATCGCGAGAAAAGTGGATCCTCGTGGAGTCTCGCGTGTAATTCGACGGCGACGCGTAGCACGTGGGAAAGCTCGAGCTAGTAGGAACGTAGTGATAAAATGGTAGCAAATAGTAGTTAAATGGTCGAAGTCAGGGGCTTTAAATTAATAATTTCACGGCCTTCGACCGTTCTCAAGAATCGACTGATCAACTCGCACATTCCACCAATGTAGATTACCTTTGATCTCGTACCAATTTCCCGTTTATCTCCTTTCAATTTGTAGAAATAAACAAAGGTAGAGGGTGGCCTTAACGGAGACGTAAAGTTAATCTACAACGGTGGAAATGGGGATTAATGTTTTTCCGCGTGTCGCCGGCTTTAACCCCGTTCGATCCGAACCGTGTTCGCGCGCTCCGCGGCGTTCCGCGCGCGCAACGTCAGCAGACGCGCGTGCATTTCGCTCGGAGATTCGGCGACGCCTGGATCCGGCGCGAGGCGACGCGAGGCGACGCGACGCCTCGCGTCAAAGACAGACGGCGGGCTGGCCGCTGACCGGCCAGCGCGATGGCGGTCAGCTGAACCGCGAGAATCGCATGTCCAGCGGTCCAGCCCGCGACCAGAAATCCCTTTTTAATTCTGTGTCAATTCTCTCTCGTTTCCTTTCCTTCTTTCTCCGCGTACGCGTTGCACGCGAGAAAGAAACGCACGCAGCGTGCGTCGTAGACTCCGTCGAACGTAAGGTTAGTCACGGAACCGCGCACGTATTTCGGAAGGAACGAGCCACGACCGTCAGATACAAAGAAAGTGGAGAGAGGGTACAGGGAAAGAGAGAAGGAGGGAGAGAGGAAAGGAAAGGTCGAGGGTTGGAGATTTTTCCCCCCTCCCTTTTTTTTTCTCTTTTGGTGACTTACCCGTCGAGTCCGATGTCCCCTGGAACGGATCGAGCTTCGGCCGCTTCGGCGGAGGGCCGTCCACCAGGTGGTCGGCCATGGCTCCTCCGCGCGGCTGTTATCTTTCTTCCGTAATAAACCTAACCTCTCTCTCGCGCGCGACTTCCTTCCCACTGCGCCCGTCTCTCGGCGATTCCCTCTCGCTGACGACGACGATCACCAGCGCGCGCGCGAGCGAGCGAGTGGAGTGCGCGCGGACGCGCGCGCGCACAGGTAGCGCGGCCGCGTCCGGCCGTACACGCGCGTAGACGTGGAGCGGCACCGCGGGTCTCGAGGCCTGATCGAGCCTAATTGTCGCTCGGCTTGTCCTCGACTAGAAGGACGTTATCGCCGTCCTGATCGGCGCTAGCACCGTGGTTGCTCCCGTCGTTGCCCTTGTTCGTACCAATCCTATCAATTCTATCACCGATGCAGTCGCCGACGACGACGACGACGACGGCGACGACGATGACGACGACGGCGACGACGGCGACGACGGCGACGACGACGAC